TTTATGCAATAAACAAGGCGACACCTCATTGCCAAGTTCAGAATTAGATAGAGGCATAAATTGCCCAGAAAGAGAACACACAATGCTTTCTATTCTGTTTTCTATGCTTGTAGTTAGTCACTGTGTAAAATAATCATGGAAATTGGAGAGGGAATTCTGGTGGGTTTTATTTTCCTATCTGTTATTTTTGGCAAGCCTTGTTCAAAAGTGAGGGGTGAGTTTGCATTTAATTTTGCAGTCAGTCTGTAGGATTGGGATGTATCATTCCCCTGCTCCCATTTGGGGCTGTAACTAGGTGATCTTGTGCCCCTGACAGAACCGCCCAGATTGCGCCCCCTAGCCACGGACAAATTAGCTCTTCTTTCCGCCTCTCCTCCAACCTATAAATATTTATAGACATATTTATGGACATATTTTTAGTCGATTTTGCGGCCCCCCCACCTGCACCCCTGGTGGTGGCCCATTTCGCCATCCCCTAGCTATGGCCCTGCTCCCATGTCAGTTAGATGGCAGCCCAGGCTTTAAGGCTGAAATCCTAAACACACTTGTTAGTCTCTAATAAGGAATGGGAAATAAGAAAAGAACAATTTAAATAAGGTGCAATGGGAGAAATTGGTGCAAATCACCATTGCATTATTTAGAGGGCGCGGGTGGTACTGTGGGTTAAACCACAGAGCTAATGGTCAGGGGTCCCTTTACCTTTACCATTGCATTAGTGTGTAAGCCTGTTTTGCGCATATTGGAACTCATTTCAGAGTAAACATGCATAGAATTGCACTGTAAATTACTTTTACAGAAGGAATTCAAAGAAGGAGGGACCGTTAAGTAGATGATGGATTGGGGGACCATTGAGGAAGACAGAGTGAGAGACAGACATTTATGGGGTAAAATGCAAGGAGAAGTTGGGAGAAGGAGAAGAAGCTTGTGTGCAATTCTTTCTGACCACAATCAGGATCTTGGATGAAATAATCTTATGGATTGTGCCCTGCATTAAATATGACCTTTCTAAAATGTAGATTTTGCATGTGACGGACCAAAATATCTTGGCTCAGCCCTGCAGGAAACAAATGGAAGAAACTAGTGCATATACCAGAATGTTTGCTTTTATGCAACTGAAAATCCCCAAATGTTATTAATTCTGATCCAGACTTTATTGTGCTTAAAATAAAGAACTTCATAAGAAGATCCTTGTGGAGTTTGGACTTACAACAATTGTACCCTCTGTGAGGGTGAGGAACTGATTAAGATGGTCCACCCCTGGAGATTTGTGGATCCTGGGGGATTCCTGAGTGCTCTGGGGACAAAGCAGATGATTCTGCGAAGGATCTCATCTTGTTATGGAATGGCTAATGTGGAGGGTTGGTGACACGATTGCTGCTGAGTGCACTCTCCACTTCTCTTCTAGAGAGCTATGGGCAATGAAATAGATAGGATGGCTAGAGCACTGGTGTTGTAGCTCTTGGTCCAAGGCCAACTGAGCACTGATTAGAGAGCATCATTGCACCTACTGTGTGGTAATAAGGGCAGTGAAGAAGTCCTAATTTGCTGCCTCTATTATGTCCTCAAGTAATCATCCATCCCAGCTTTCCTGGGCTTGTTGGAAGCAGATCCATAGACTTTTCTGGAAAGACTCTGGAAAATATGTTGGTATTGCATTCTCTGCCCCACCCAGTAGCTACTGCAGTTTTTAATGAGTACATGTAGGGAGGTGGTTAATTTAAATGAATAAAATAAATAAATCAAGTTGCATCCCATTGATCTCAGTTGGTCTACTCTAAGTCTAACTAATTAATTCCTTTTATTTCAGTGGGTCTATTCTAAGCTTAACTAGGTTCAGCCCTGATATGGACAAAACTACCGTATTCATGTTGTTGTTGTTTAGTCGTCTTAGTCGTGTTCGACTCTCTGTGACCCCGTGAGCCAGAGCATGCCTTGGAAACTCTCACTTTCCTCACATAGATTTTCCTCACATAGATTTTGCATATCTTAAAAATGCTTTCCCTTCCTCTGTGAAAGTCACTGTCGAAACTCCCATAAAACTTCACTTGTAAACCATTTATGTCTGCAATTCATTCTTCCTTTCTTCCTTTTTGGCAGCACTTATATTGATCCTTGTCTTAATGTATTCTAAACTTTTCTTAGTGGTAAGAACTCGTTTTCATTGGCTTATAACAAGCATGTCCAACACAGATCGCGTAGGGTGTTCCTGGTAGATCTCTGCCCCTCCCCAAAAAAGCTCAACACCTTTGGCTTTCTACAAAAAGCTCAACAATTTTGGTCCATCCAATGACAATGGGTAGATCACTGCCAGTTTTTTTATACTGTGAGTAGATCACAGTCTATTGGGAGTTGGACATCCCTGGTTTATAACTTTGCCAATGTTTGATTGTATACAAAGAATAGCAGACTTAGCCTGAAATATTAACCTTGCTTACCTGGGAGTAAGTCCCACTAAATTCAACAGGACTTACTTCTGAGTAGACATGGTTAGACGTGCTCTGTAAGAGTGCAACAAAAATGAATTAAATAAGTATTCAGTTTTGAAAGAACTGCATTGGGTGCCTATTTGCGCAAACTTCAACACATTGGTAAAGGTAAAGGGACCCCTACCATTTACCTTTGACTCTGGGGTTGAAGTGCTCATCTTGCTCTACAGCTTCCGGGTCATGTGGCCAGCATGACTAAGCTGCTTCTGGCAAACCAGAGCAGCGCATGGAAACGCTGTTTACCTTCCCGCCGGAGCAGTACCTATTTATCTACTTGCACTTCATGCTTTCAAACTGCTAGGTTGGCAGGAGCAGGGACCAAGCAACGGGAGGTCACCCCGTCACAGGGATTCGAACCATTGACCTTCTGATCGGCAAGCCCTAGGCCCTAACCCACAGTGCCACCTGTGTCCCTTCAACACATTGGTACTTATCTTTAAAGCCCTAAAAGGCTTGGAATTCAATTACCTGAAGCAGCACATCTTCTCACCTTGCCCTGCCTTAAGCTTATTGGCTGACACCTTTCTCTGCATGTTATTTCCTAGAGGAAGTTTGCTGTGTTTATACAAAGGAAATGGCCTTTGCTCTGATGCCACCATGACTTTGAAATGTCTCCATCAGGGAAGTATGATTGGCACTGTCCCTTTTGGGTGAAAATAGCAAGTTATGGCACAGAAGGTGCCAAAGGTCATTTCAAGTCCGGACCATCCATATCCCTTTATTTATTTAACTTTTAAATCCCAGCTTTTTGCCAAGGAGCTCAAGGTGAGGTACATAAGTTCTCCCCTTCCTCATTTAATGCCCGCAACTACCGTGTGATATAGCTCAGGCTGAGAGGCAGCAACTGACCCCAGGTCATCCAGTGAGGCTCATGGCTGGGTGGGGATCTGAACCCTGGTTTCCCAAGTGCTAGTCTGATACTCTGACCACTACAACACGCTGCCATAAGCAACTCAAGACCATACTGTGCACAACCAGAGGGGTCTGCTACTGTGCAGGAAGATACCTGCACATCAAGTAGTGACAGATGACCTCAGCAAATAAGCCATGCTATGCACTAGGAAGAGTCGATGGACTCCCCTCCTGTAATCTTGTTCACCTAGAGAAATATTGTTGGGTTTTTTTTGCAAGGGGTGGGATGGTGGAGTTGCTTGCAAAAGTTCCCATTTGTCATCCAGTTGGGAGTAGATCTAGCTGGCTAGAACTGTGTGTGCACAGCAGCACCCGAGTTACTTGGGAAATGAAAGGCTCCACCGTTAAGCATGAGATTTTAGCTCTGGAAATCTGCCCCCTTTAAGACGTTGCCTTCCACCTCTGACTCTTGGAAGCAGAAAATGAGTGACAGCCAAGGGTTATAATTCTATAATTGCCTCTGGCTGCATCAAACAATTCAGTCCTTGGCACTGTCTGGGAAAGGAAATCTGAGGTAGATGGGCCATTGGTCTGAATTACCATGGCAGGTCCCCTTCTCTAATTAAATGATTAAGAGGCTTCCAGCTCCAGATGAGCCTTGCATTTTCAGCACAGTGTGGAATGAGGCGTAGAACTGTAGAATAAGAAAGAACCTCTTGGATTTAGGTGCAGGAGAAAATAAGGAAGACTGCAGTTGTAGCCATGGCTCTGCCTTCCACTTCGTTTGTTTTACTAAAAAGATTGTTGCATTCAAAGGCACAGGTAGAGGCTAATTAGAGTTGCAGGTAAAATAAGGAGAGCTGCAAGCCTTAATTCTCAGGTTATTGACTTAATATGGCCTCTAAGTCAAGAGTTTTTTGAGTGTAGGGCTGACTTGCATTCAAAGGTGACCCCATGAACAGTGCTTTCCCATTGCTGCTGCAGTATTGTCCCTCCATTTATAGTTGGAAAATTGTTTTTCTGGGATCGAGTGCCTTCTTTAAGAAAGTTCAGGGTTAGAGCAAGGTGTGAGCCCTGTGCTTCTACACAAAAATGCGACAATATTTTTTTCACTGGCCCTCTTCAGCCAAAATGCTTTTTAAAATATTTTTTATGAAGGGTATGACAAGAATTCCTCACCAGTGTGTAGTCTGTTCAAGGCACAGCCATGAATCAATCTCATGGGCCAGTGGACTGTGGAAACTTACAGTGGTTTATGTTTAGGTGACAGTCTGTGCACCTTATGATGGGATGCCTGACTTAATACTTCGGAGAGTCACAAGTTGACTTTCTAGCTTTCTTTTAATTAAATGTCAAGACCTGAGCTCTGAAGATCAAAATGATCGTTCCTTTCTTTCAACTTCAGAAAGCAGGACTGCAGGGGCCCCTCCTGAGGGGCTGGTACTCCGTTTTCATCTAAATGTTATTATGGCTTCCATCACCAGCTTTGAAGGGTGCAGCAAAACCAGCAGTTTGCGGGGAGGGGGGGGGGTCGTTGGGGTGCAAAGAGGGAAAACGCTCCGTCATTAAGCAGCTTGTTTTGAGGAAGGAATTTTGCAGTGACGAGCAAATAAAACGTAAGAGGCTTACAACAACTGATATTATTGACACAGAACCGTAGAATCATAGAGCTGGGCGTTCTTTTTATTTGCAAAGGGAGACAAAGTTCAGCGGGGGGGAGAGAGAGACAATTTTTTATTCTATCGGTCAGATTTTATTCTAAGACGATAATTTTCTAGTGTCTCTCTGTATGAGAGAGAATCACACACTTGCGCATTCTGTAAACGGGAAAGACTTTCGCATCCAAGGGGCCAACTTGAGAACTTAATTTTCACGTTCCTTACAAACAACAACGTGTGCAGGAGGCGCCAAGCAGAATGAAGGTCGAAGCTTGTGTGTGTAACTGATATCCCTGGCTGTTTTCCTTCTCTCCGTGACTCCTGACTCTTAAAACAATAAAATAAAGATCATAAGCATCTGTTGCTATGGAAACCCAGCAGCCAGACCGGAGGAAGGCTTGGGAGTGGGCGCCCTTTCTCTCTCCAAGTAACCTCGTTAGCTGCCCATCGCAGGACCAGTCGCGCCCCCAGTGCCCTGCGCGTCCCCGGCTTCATTAGCCCCGAGAGACCATCCGTTAAGTACTGGGTGCCCTGCTTGCCGCTGCACAAAGCCAGAGTCTCTCTCCTCAGCGGCTAAACTGCAGCCGCGCAGGAAAAGAGGGCAGAGCCTCTTAATCTGTTTTACCCGCCGCTGCTGCCAGCACCCTCGCGGGTCCCAGTATCCCCAGCGGCGGGCTCTGGGCTGGAGGTTCCTCCGTCTCGCATTTTGTTTATTCCAGAGGATTACTCCTGGAGAAACAGTTTGCTCGTGTTTCCACAGAGGGGCGCTGAAGCACGTTTTAATGCAGCAAAATGAATTAAGAGCGAAATATTACGAGACACTTTGGTTGATTAAACAAGCGAGTTGTGGGGAGGAGGAAGCGGGGGGGGGGGGAAGAGAGAGAGAAATTGGGGGACAAGAGAGGATGAGGAGGAAAGCCGCTCTGGAAAATCCCTGATGCCCCAAGGATCGGTTCCGCGTCTTGGAGGGAAGGGACCCGGTTAATTCCCTCTTGCCAGAGATCAAAAGACAGACACCGAAACGAAGCTGCGGGCGTTGGGTTGTGGCTCTGCCTCCCCTCCTCTGTGTTGCCTTTTAAGCCCCCCGACCCACCCCCTTCAAAGCCCTGCTTGGCCAGCGACTCCCCACCTTACCCTCTCGCTTCTGGTTCCCTTTTCAAGTTCTCCAAAGGGAAGGAGACTCAAGCCCTCCTTCCCAGGAAAGCCTTACAGAGAAAGCAGCAGCATCAGCGATCCCCTCCCTCCTTGGTGCGCGCCTCGGATTCCTCTTCCTTCTCCAGGGCGAGCAGCATGCTCGCAAGGAGGTCTCTCCCCTCCTGGTGTTTCCATCGCCCCCCGCCCGGCCCCTGATCGCGCGCACAACACCCTGGCCTCCCCTCCCCACCCGCCGCCACTTTCGCCTCTCGGACGCGGCCGGCATGAGACCTCGCAGGCGGCTGCTCCGTCGCCTCCGGGCGAGCCAGCCAAGCCCCCTTTCCCTCCACACCCCCGTCTAATTCCGCTCCGGCTCCGCCATCTGGGGACATCTTTTTTTCCTTCTCTCTCTCTCTCCGTTTTAGAGGAGGGGGTGTGAAATCAGGATCTCTTCCGGATTGTACAGCGTTCCTCAAGCGGGGGCTCCCCGGCGTGTGTATATGTGTGTTTTGGGTTATTCCATCAACTCTTCTCTCACCCCCCCACCCACCCCGCCTGGGTTTTCTCCTAATGCTGTTGAAGGAAGAGGGAGCGCGAGGGAGGGAGCGCGCGCTTCGCCAGCTCCACTGATCTGTTATTGAGGAGGGCTTGACTCGACGTGGTAGAAGGCGATCCGAGGCTAGGGGAAAAGAGAGCGAGGCGGCGCAGGCTCCAAATCTGCCGATTACAAACAGCCTCTCCTTATATGTATGGATAGTAATCATAGTCATTAATTAAAGAGAGGGAGTGAGAGAATACCTCCCCCTCTCCGTCCTGGATTGACTGAATGGCTTCCTTGTACCAGAGATTCGGCGGGAAGATCAACACATCCAGATCCTTCCCGGTGACTCCCGAGGCGAGTCACCTGCTGGGTCCCCAATGCGCCGAAGAGGACAGTTCCGCGGCGGCGGCCAACGCAGCCGGCGGAGAAGGGAAAGCGTCGCGTCCATTGCAACAAGACAACCCCCGACCCCGCTTCCAATACCAGGCGAGGAGGAGTGACTGCGAGGAAGAAGATGTAAGCCAGCCCCTGCCTACCTGGGTTGGGTGACGCTCGGTGGATGCGGGTTCGGGGTTGCTGCTGCTGCTGCTCCCCATCCTTTTCCTTTTTTGGAATGGTGTCCTATTTTCCTTTTGTCTGGGTCGCGTTGTGATGCCTGCTCCCCCCCCCCCAACCCGGGTGTTTTGTTTTGGCTCATCCCCTCCATATGGGATTCTAGCCACGGAGGTGATGTGCGCGCAGCCTCCGGGGCTGCCCGAGTGGCCGTGTGCGGGGGGCGCGTTCCAGCACCTGCCACAAGTAGCGCGGGAGCTCGTGGGTCTTTAGGAGGGGAGTCCTTAGTTGCCTCGATGGACACGTGTGTGTGTGTGTGTGTGTGTGAGAGAGAGAGAGAGAGAGAGAGAGAGAGAGAGATATTTCCCCGTCTTCTGAACCTACTTTCTGCTGCCAGCCACCACTCTTCCGCTTCTTTTGTCTAAAAAAATAAGAAACCCTGTGGGTTTTAATTACGTTGTGCACCTCAGAAAGGGAATTCCGCTCTCCCTTTCGAGAGTGAAGATATGGTGGAGACACATCCCCCCATTGATCTGAATTGGCCATAAACTTCCGGGGTGGGGGGGAGGCAGTCCCACTGAACTCAGCAGCAGCACAGAGTCAAAATGCAGACGGCTCGGGCTGTTTCCTACCAAACTGCCCTGACTCTTGTAGGTTGTTAGGAAATTCTTCAGTTTTTCCGGTGATAACTTTTTCTGGCCCCTTGTCGAAGCCTCCCGCTTCTCTTCCTCCGCCCTTTGCTGCTTTAAAACTGCCAAGAAACAAAGCAGGCAACTGGAAGGCTATATTAAGCTCCAAGGAGGTGCTGAAGTGTAAATTGGAGCAAACACGTTTCCCTTCCTCTTCCTCTCTCTCTCCCCCCACCCTCCGCCCCGCCATCCCCTCTTTCCTGCTGATGGGAGCAGAGATTTCAAAGAGTTTGTATTTGCATATTGCCTTAGTAACGAGTGACTCATCCAGGGTACTTGCTTGGCTGCTTGGGGTTGATGATGGCGCGAACGGGGAGGGGGGGGGGAAAGTTAAAATCCTCTTGGATTGATTTGGAAGAAGAGCATTAGACAGGTTGTGTACCATCGCCACCGTTAGCCTGTAGTGATGCCCTTATTATTAGGTTTCCTATTCAGATGCAGCTCCGTGGTAGTGTGTGTGTCTTTGTGCATGTTAAATAAATGTGTAACTTAAAAGTTTTTTCGGGGGTGGGCGGCGGCGCACCATAATGGCTCTTCGCGTCTGAGGTTGTTTCGCTCCATCCGCGAAGAATACGTATTTCTCAGCATTGTTTCATCTGAAGTTTCCATTAGAGCTGCAGCTGTGCTCAGCCTTTAATTATAGAAGTCACTAGTAATTATCACAAACTGGTGATTGCCTGGAACTTGGTGGGGGCAGGAGGAAAACAATTCCTTTCTGCTTCACTCACTTAAGATCCCCGTGGAGAGAGAGATTGCCAAGGAAAGTCGTAGGATTTTCTTTTGTGCCTGTTTATTTCCTGATCGAGAACGTGTTCTGTGGGAGGTAGCGCGAGGGATGGGCTTCTCTTTTCCCCTCCTCCCAGCAAGGAGATAAGCACAAAAATTCATGGAAAGAGTCCACAGAGGAGGAGGGTCTCTTTCCTAAGAACCAGTAGATGGAAAAGGGGAGTTAACTTCCACTACCTTAAAAAAAGGATCCTAAAGCTAAATCCTATTTAGTATCACTGTAATATTTAGTGGAGGGTAAAGAAAGATCTAAATTTAATTAACCCAGAATCCTAGGGGTTATCCTTTTGAAACCAAACGATGAAAATGTTTTTGTGTTTGTCTGACGGCTGTCTAGCCTATCTCAGGCTTTAACCACTAGATGGCGGCATGATAAAGCAAAGAAATGACTTTTTTAAAAGGAAAGAAAGGAAAGGTATATCCCTCCACTGACTGTTTCTCCCTGTTTCTCTCTCTCTCTGTAATACTCTGCTTGAAGCTTATGTTTTTTCCACCCCAGCCCCAGTTCTGAATATGACAGATGTCTGGAGCTGTCTCGGATAATCAAAAACTGTAGCACAAATGTTGATTTATCATGTGTATGACATTTTTGTTGACACTACTTATCCTTCCAAGTTAGCTTCATTAAGGCTGAGATTTTGAACACATTAGTGAGTAAGACCTGTTGGGCAGGCACACACACACCTCTCACCTGGTCCATTCCTTCCATTTCCTAATAGTCTACTGAACTGTAGAAAGAAAAGGAATCAGAGCATGAAACACAATTTCCCTGAAGGCTTAAAAACAATATGGTGGGAATTAATTTAAAGTTGTATTTTAAGCCATATTTTAATGAACTGTTTGTTTGTTTGTTTGTTTGTTGTTTTCTATTACCATTTTATTGTAATTTATATTTGGTTTTAGCCGCCCTGAGTCCGGCCCTGGCTGGGGAGGGCTGTGTATTTTATTAAAATGTTATCATTCTTATTCTTATTTATTAATGAGAATATGCATCCTCCTTTACTCCTATAGTCACAGATATAACAACTGTATATTAGATGGTTAGCTGCTTCTGTCTGCTTTTACCCTAGTCGCTGTTTCAGCTCTTCCCCAAAGTTAACAAATTCTAGGATCTGGGAGACAAAAGCAGACCTACATGTCTTCAGAATATGTTGTATTAACATTTGAATTGTGGGTAGAGAAAGTGTAGAGCCAGGCTTTTGGAAATAGAACACTGCAACATATAAGCTTATAAGAAGTTTAGATAAAGTGGGAGCTATTTAGAGTTACAGGGGGACGCGGGTGGCGCTGTGGGTAAAAGCCTCAGCGCCTAGGGCTTGCCGATCGAAAGGTCGGCGGTTCGAATCCCCGCGGCGGGGGTGCGCTCCCGTCGTTCGGTCCCAGCGCCTGCCAACCTAGCAGTTCGAAAGCACCCCGGGTGCAAGTAGATAAATAGGGACCGCTTACAAGCGGGAAGGTAAACGGCGTTTCCGTGTGCGGCTCTGGCTCGCCAGAGCAGCGATGTCACGCTGGCCACGTGACCCGGAAGTGTCTCCGGACAGCGCTGGCCCACGGCCTATAGAGTGAGATGGGCGCACAACCCTAGAGTCTGGCAAGACTAGCCCGTACGGGCAGGGGTACCTTTACCTTTACCTTTATTTAGAGTTACAACATGTATTAATCTGGCAGGGTTAGGATGAATTCATTTTTTTTTAAAAAAAAGAGCTGTTTAAGTGTTCAAGTGCTAAGTGACAGCAATGTGGAAATCCTGTGTTTTTCTTCCTGTCTCCAATCATTCTGAAAAGTGCTTCTCTTGGGGAGCTGTCTCAGGTACTGAAACCCTTCCAGCTCTACCACTGGGAGATCTTGCTTGCTGGCATACTTTGCATTGGGTCATTTAAAGGGAACTGGCGGCTTTATTGGCCTTCAGTGGCTTGCTGTCAGCTAGTGAAGAGTGTTCGGCTTATGAGCCAAGGCAGGATTTCTGACCTTGGCAAACTGGTAAAAAATGGCAAAGAACAGAAATCAAAGTTCTTCCTTGCAAAAGCAGTGCTCAGAATAGTGATGCTAGCAAGGACTTTTAAATGTAGATTTAATGTAAATTAGTGTCAATTTCGGCATTAAGAGGGAAGGAAAGGTGATGTGCAACAATAAAAGCAGCTAAATGAGGTGCAGAGAGCTGTGATTTTGGTAGGTTTCTGCAGAATCTGCTTTGCACAGTAGCTGGAAATCCTGGCTGCTGAAAATCCTGCTAAATCCTGCTAATATTGTATGCAATGATGCTTGATAACTGGCTGCTCTGTTGGTGATTGCATTATGAACCCCTTTCTAGAAGGATTAGACTTCTAATATAAATTTCATATTAAAGGCTAAAACTGGGTGAGGGAGCTCTTGTTTTTAATGAGAGCATTCCCATAAAAGTGGTTGAGCATTTGTCACACAGGTTCAGCCCAATTAAAATATATCGAGACTGATATACAGGTTCTACTTCATATAAGGGAACACCTTAAGAGTACATTGTTCCACAAAATGCCCTGTTCACTAGCTCAGGATTTGTTCAATTCATTGAGGTTTTTTAAAAAGAGCCCCCCCCCAATAATTAAGACATTTAAAAATGAAACACATCTGCAATAAGTATTGGGTTAGGATGC